TTTATAGGAGGTCACCAACTCGAATCAGTCAACGAGTTAAGAGACCTCGGTGTGTGGATGACGTCAACTCTCAAACCATCGTCTCACTGCGCCAAGGTATCAAAAAAAGCTATGGGTATCCTAGGCGCGATTAGAAGATCTTTCGTCAATTTTGATGAAGAACTTTTCGGCCGAGTATTTGGCACATACGTTCGACCAATGTTGGAATATTGTGTCCAGGCATGGTGTCCCTGGACGAAAAAAGATTACACCCTGCTGGAGAACGTGCAACGTAGAGCGACCAGGCAAGTCGGCGGATTATGTGGCTTACCTTATGAGAGACGGCTGGAGAAGCTGCAAAAATTTCCCCTCTCTTTTAGACAGTACAGAGGGGACATGATCATGGCCTTCAGGATCGTCAGAGGGCTAGACTGTGCTCTTCAGTTTGACGACTTCTTCGAACTGGCGCGGACGACAAATCTCCGAGGGCACCCATACACATTGAAGACGAAACATGCCAGACTCGATTTGCGGGCCACATTCTTCTCTCACCGGCTGGTTGAGGGATGGAACAAATTGCCGAACTCCGTTGTCTTAGCGGAAAACGTCGAGACTTTCAAAAGAAGACTAGAAAAACTTATGCTTGATGGCCGAACATTTACATGATATCAATGACTGGCATTATTGCTATGTAAATATCCGCATGTCTTTTTTTTCATACGTCTATCTGTCAATAGGGTTTTCCAAGGCTCTGCCACTATCCCTCATATATACTGAATTACACTGAAATTATACTGAATCGGGTATCGAAACGGACGAAGATAAGGTAAAGGAAGTTAGGGACTGGCCCACACCTAATAAAGTAGCAGAGGTCAGAAGTTTCTCTGGCTTGGCTTCGTACTACAGAAAGTTCATTAAAAATTATGCCCACATAGCCGCGCCGTTGAATAAACTCACGCAGAAGGGAGTCAGGCTTAAATGGACCCCAGAATGTGAAGCTAGCTTCCAAACCCTTAAGAATAGCCTTTGTTCCAGTCCTGTCTTGACTTTTCCTGACATTAGCGACCAAGCGGGCATTTTCGTACTCGACACAGATGCCAGCGAGACTGCGATTGGTGCTGTGCTGTCGCAGCAGCAGGCGGGCGGCACTGAACGAGTAATCCAGTATTTAAGCCGGTCGCTCACCAAGGCAGGAAGAAGATATTGCGTAACCAGGAAGGAGATGCTTGCGCCCACATTCTTCATCGAAGAGTGCCGGCCATTCTTGCAGTACCGCAAATTTCTCATCCGGACCGATCACAGTTCCTTGACATGGCTGCGCAATTTTAAGAATGCCGAGGGTCAGGTCGCGAGATGGCAAGAGCGACTGGCCGGGTTTAAATTCGACTGTAACCATCGGCCAGGGCGCCAACATAAGAACGCAGATGCCCACTCGAGAAAACCTTATCGTCCTCACGGCGAATGCCCGTCTTGCACAGACATTAGCATCGGCAACATAACACTGCATGATGACCAGAGCAGCCTTTGGGCTCAGGCTCAGCGCAATGATCCTCATATAGGCCCCATCTACTACAGAAAGCTAGGCGAATCGCCGCCTTTGAGTGGACCCGAGCTTCGGGGGGTGTGGGATAAACTTTTTCTAGATAATGGAGTATTTTTCTACCGCGACGGTGATCAGTATCCCCGGCGTATCGTTCTACCTTTATCCATGACCGATGATGTCCTCACGCGAATACACACTCAGCTAGAGCACGTAGGAATCCATAAGACCGAGTGGGCTGTAAGGAGGTGATACTATTGGTCCAACTTAAGACGATATGTGTGGGATTTTATTCGGTATCGCAACTTGTGTAATCAACTAAACCCGCCACCTCACTTGAACAGAGCGCCCCTTCAACCCATCCTGACAGGCTACCCCAACAAACTCGTTGGCGTTCACATCATTGGACCCAGAGCTCCATAAGTCCGGGGCAACCGTTACATTCTGGTCATGGTCGACTTCTTTAAGAAAATGGCTGAGGTGGAACCATTGCCCAATATGTCGGCGGAAACGGTCGCTCAGGCCATGTTTAATGGTTAGGTATGTAGATGCGGAGCCCCAGACCAAATTCACTCAGATCGAGGAACTTCATTTAAAAACGCAATTCTTCACAGTCTTTGTAAGTACTTACGGATCAACAAGACACGCACTACTGCTTACCACCCGCAGGGTAACGGACAAGTTGAGCGAACGAATAGGACGCTAATCGGATTGTTAAAAGCCTTTGTTGACCGTCAGGCACCCTTCACGTGGGACGATACCTTACCCGCATGCATGCTCGCATACCGTTCCACGATTCACTCCTCGACCCAACAGTCGCCATTCGCTCTCACCTAAGGTCGGGAAATGCGGATACCGGAAGACCTCCAAGTACCACTGGAGAATAACCAAGTACCAGTTAATTCCTATGTCACCAGGCTACATAATAAGTTGCGTATTGTAGCCGAGGAAGCGCGAACACACTTACATGGATCCCAAAACCGACAGAAGGACCATTATGACATACTTTCCCTTGGGTGCCCATATGTTGCTGGTGACGTCGTATGGCTCAGAGAACATACAGCCCCGCAAGGAATACCGAGTAAATTTGTGTTAGACTCGTCTGGTCCGTACACTGTAACCAAGGTGATCTCTGACACGACCTATATAATTCAGGACCGCGAGCGACCTTTCACGGCGGAAATTACCGTCCATTTTAATTGACTAAAGCTGGGAGAGAGACCCGATGCATTTGGTTCCGAAGATCAAGGAAATACCGTCTGTGATGTTGATCGTGAAGAAGTTGAAAGGATCGCTGAAATTCCACCTGAGGGTGGGGACGAGTTTGAAGTACCCTTTAGCGACAGGCGGTACAATTTGGAAGACCACAGGTCGATGCTGCATGACGTCAGTCAAAACGAGGGCACAGAAATCGCTGAGGACAGCAACATCTCTATGGAGGAGGGAGTGATGTAAAGATGGAGCAAACGTTTCCTGATTTTCGCTAGTTAGGATAAGATGGCTAACATATTGCTAGTACAAAGCTCGGTGTTCCCATTGGATGGCACACGCAAGTTTGCCATTTTAGATTCTCCAACTCTATAAGTCCAGGATACTTTTAACTGTCGATCTCATTGGATCTCGCCGAATTAAGTCAAAAGTTTTCGACTAACCATTGGGTATTTCGGTTTGCCTATCAGCGATCTAGTAGAGACCAGTCTAGGCCAGAATGTCAATAAAAACGGTCCCGAAGATTCTATTGGCTACGATTTACTTTCTAGTATTCTTGTAATTGATTTACGCATACCCATTGGTCTATCTTTATGTGAACCTATCCCAATCGTCTGGAGGCCCTATAAAAACCGAGGAGGATTGACGTTGACCACCCTTGAACCGGAGGACTCTTTCTGGACGCCACCGCCGCTCCTGCATCATCTCCGCCGCCCCGAATCAAACGAGGCTTGCATCCAAAGAAGCTTGTCCTCGCCGTAGGAAATCCCGCTGTTGCCGAACTCTCAATATCGCCTTCTGTCGTTTACAAATAATTTCCCCTTAGGAGCCCGTCTTTCTTTCTAACTGGGGACCAGAAAGGGCATAGCATAGCGTTATTAGATCTCATCTCGGCTAGGGTCGTTACAGTAGTGATCTCAAAGATTGTGACCAGCAAGGCTAAAACGTTCGGACACTATCCAGTCTATATTTCAAATATACCTGCATTTCACGAAAGTGTCTAAGATATAAGATTAGTGAAAATTGCATGAATTTTAGATAGAAAGTTAGCCAGTTCAGCGTGACTCTGTCGTCCAGTCACATTAAAACACTTATAATAATGGCCATGTTACTTCATCAGTTGGCGGTCTTTTGCTATAATTGTAATTTTCGCACAGTATTACACAAGTTTGGTTATGGTAAACAAAATCTGTGTAAATGTGAAGCAGCCAACATCCGAATCAACGGAACATAACAGCAATGTGTTACCATGGCTGTTGCTTTAGGACAACAATAAGGCTGGCGACCTGGGCATACAATAAGCACGTCAGACAAAATTAGATATTTACTGTCTTGTTCTTCCTTATCTGCGATGGTCATATGAACGCCGCACGAACACGGGGAGCGAGTCTGGTGATAATCTGTTTCCTCTAGCTACCTATCAGTGGAAAGGAAAGCTCTTAAAAGTCCTTTGTAAGGAGGTGTTTTGGCTCCATTGTCACTACTGAGCCGTTAACATATAGCGAAAAGGTTAATACGTGTGCGAAGGGCAGGAAAAACCAGTTAAGGCCGAGTGTCGGACCATCTGAATTGTCTCTATTTGACGAGAGATGTTTTAGGTTATGGTACGGTGGCTGGGGAAATGACACCGAATGGGTTATACCTTGATAGAATGTCTGAACATCTGGACTCCGAGAGCAGCAAAAGGGCCCGCCTTGCAAACATGTCTGGCCATGTCACGCAGCTGCACTTGATAATTCACCGTCGTCACCACTGAATGTTGACGAAGTCGTGAGTAGCCAGTGGCACTGGTGACCAGCGTAACTCCCGTCAGAAGTTTCCGAAGCTCATAAAAGAGGTATGTTATACGGTCGCACCGACTGCCATGGCGACTGCATAGAAATACTTTGCCAGTTGACTTAGGATAGCAACAGACCTTATGTACTAGTTTGTGACCCCCAGATAAAAATTCATGCGATTCTCTCCCAGATCGTAGCGGTTGTAGGCAGTCGGGCTAGACGAGATATATGACGGTAAGCTGCTAAGCACTACTAACTTCCTAGTTTCGAGTGCACCTCTTTCGCCCTCTTGCACATAGACATGCGATCGTTATGGATAGTCGAGTAGCTCGTCCGTCCTTGAACTTATGCGCGGTTGAATCTCATAATTTTGCGTCATTTGCACACAATCTGTCCAGCCAATTAAATATTGGGCTACCGCGCTTTTGAGATTGTCATTGGTTTATTCAACTCGTCATCCAGGCTGGTGCTTACGCGAAGTATTCGCTTGGAAAATGTCATCGTTGAGCGATGATGAGTTGAGATCTGCCCTTCGTGACCACGGCGTCCATGTTGGTCCAATTACAGAAACCACCAGGAAAGTTTATGAGAGAAAACTGGCTAAGGTCACTGCACAAAACGTAGATAAAGAGGAGAAAGTACGTTTACGAATTGACTGTCCATCTTTTAGAGAAACCGTCGTCAACCCAGGTCGTCTACCAATCCACCGGGCAGTTTTAAAACTGAAGGTGAGTCGTGTGTAAACTATCTGTCAATTGTTATGTTTGTCGACGAAAGTGCTTTCGCTGACGGCCTTATCCTCGGGAATCCATCAGATTTCTTACTCAAATGTATTTAACTACCCAATCATACAAATTTAAGACTTATTTATGAAATGCAACTTAGTTTTAGAGTTTTCAGTATTGTCCTCTGCTGTCGCCTTCGTACTCCTACGATCGTAGAAGTACGTCGGAGTTATAGGCTTATGCTGACACGATCTTGACTCATGAGACCAGAGCGTAAATCGCTGCGCTCCGCGACGATCTAGATGTTGTCAGCGGTTTCTGGGTTGTAGCGCTCAGGATTAAGTTGTTTGGATTTGTGTTCCACTGTTTTTAAGTTGTTAGGCTCGTGAATTCAGGATTTGGATAAACGCCTATCAGCCGTAAGGCTCCAATTCGGCCACAGGCATTCTCAAGCTAGATTTGCCATCACAATTTCGAGCCTTAAAAATAGTCGCGAAAAGCGAAGTTCGGCAGCTGGAGTTTTTATTCCATCAGCGAAGCGTATTTCTTAAATCATTGTAACAGCTGTATCGAGTTTGTGCGATGACATGCAACACAAAGTTGGCGAAGGAAGACGAGCAGCGTTCAGTGAGGCATGCTATATATAGTCCGCGTCAGAGTGTGCGTGGGATTAAAGTAAATCGATTTTAGTTGAGGCACCATGTGTACTGACCTCAGCGACCGCCATAGCTCCTGGACATGTCAGACGGCTTTGCACTCTCAGGCTGCTCACAATAGGAAATGTTTCGTATTGCAAAAAAGCAGTGTTGATTTTCTCTAAGTAGGCTTTAGCTATATGTACATTACCGCTTAAGTAGGGGATACCATCGGTGACCATTTTGCTTCGATAGTTGTTTTAGCTCATAGGCAGAAGGGACTGATTAGGTAAAATATTCATGGCAGGCACCATTGATGCAGAAGACTCAGAGCTTTGATCCAGTCATTTGGCCATGCTGACATAGACAACCGTCTCTGAGGTGTCTTCAGTCTAAAATATCTTGTTTCAATTAGAGCACTCTCCATGACCTGCCGAATCACAATACATGACCGCATGAATTGCATCTGCCGAAACGATTCGACTGCATCATATCGTAAGTTCAGTCGTCAACGGGGTCGTCCGATTTTTGGAGTCTTGCCCCTATGGACCGCACATTCTGTGTAACACGACCACAACAAATTCTGCGAGATATTTAATGCGCTCTAACATTACTGGACGTTAAAGGTGTACTAGTCGTTTAACTCGTCTGCTCCGACTATCACATACGACCAGGCTACGATGGTGTCATCCAAGTCAGACGTAATGTTTCGCAGGCGGCGGAATTTTGCTCAGGTCATGGACCAGTCAAGCTCTCCCTGGCGCACCTGTACATGACCATAGCCTTCTGTCTGCCGAGGATGTCTGTTATACGGTCAGGGAAAGAAAGCGCATCAGAGTGTTCGTCGAGGACACTTCCCCGGCAGTTTTTGCAAGTCCTGTTCGAGGGGGGGGGGGTTGATTAATTGGTTACACGAAAGTAAGTCCTTCAAAAATCAGGACGACCCATCCTGATTTCGCTGTCGGAGATAACTGCCTCGGCTGCTTTAAATTATACTTTCTGTCAAACAGACACTGTGAGTGCAAATACGGCTCGGGTGACCTTCCTCAAACTCCTTCGAAACCTAAATAATCAGCGTGAAGTCAGAAAGATAAACCAAGACTGTGAGAGGCATCGGTCAAGACAATCCTCCGATGTGGCCGTGAGACATGGTTCTTGAGGTCAGAAAATATGAACTTTCTGGAAGTATTTGACTTATGTTGCTTGCGCCTTATTGTGTAAGTTATTCTCCCCGATCACATCTCAACTGAACAACTATTAAGTCGGTTGGGCGAAACCCGTAAACCCCTTCCTTGTCGCTCTTAGATTAAGATTCCCCAGCGCTCTTCTGCGTCGAGCTATAAACGAAACAGTTCGAAACGTCATGCTGCCTGAAATAATGTCTGCCGGGCTGGCCATGGTATCAAGAACGGGCCCGTGGCCCAGTGGTTAGAGGCGTTGGACTTTTAACTAACAGGTCGCTAGCTCGAGACCCAGGTGTTCCACACTTCGGGGCTGAGTCTGACTGGCTGACGACAGCTAATAAGCCAGAAATGGCCACCCCAGTCTCCCTTGTCTTTGTCGGTAATAACATACAGCCGGTATCGAGATTTCTAGTTGAAGAGTTGGGCTTATTGAAAACTGTCACCGAAAATACCTCAGGTCCCTTCGCTCTTCGGTCTGCAGGACTACCGGGCCAACTAGTTCCACTTCACTTCGGTGTCTGTCGCTAACCGACTTCCGAGATTTACGATGAACCTTGATGAGGCGAACATACGGAGATCAACACAAGGGCAGGTGAGTGGGACGTGTGTCAAACGATACTGACTACTGAATCTTCTAGTCAGACTGTCGTCATGGATTAGGAACGACGAAGGCACTTAATCACTAGATTTCTCTAACTTACTGGGACTTTAGTATTATATGCCTGTGCTTTGAAATTACTGCGCTATCCGCTTCAATACTAGGCGAAGCCGCTGCGTGCGGTCTTTCTGATGATCTTGAAATATGGAACAGAAACGTGTAGTGTCTGCTGCCAGGAAGGGCTGGACTTTGACCACCGAGCATCTCACGATGGATCATCCTGTCGACATTTTTACGCACTCATTACGCGTATTTTGTTCAGTGTTTGGTAATCGAGGTGGGATTGAAGATGTCTATTCCGAGGATGTCGCCGGTCTGATATTTCAAGCACGTTTACCTTAGTCATCCCTGAATCAGCTTCCACTCGAGGGACTCTGCTCTTCTGCTGTTACAACGCAGTAGTTGCTCTATGCATATGAGAAGAGCCGTTTGGAACATTGGTAAAGAATGTAGCTACAATAAACTTCGGACGCCTTATTATTTTTGCAGTGGCCGGCATCATTTGTCCGCATCACAGCCATTGAAACCACTAATCGTCACAATAAGGGCTCTGCTGAAGGTGCGTCGCGTATTGAAACAATTGATACTGATTTTTCCTGTCACTAGTCCAGTGCTCTTGTTATTTCCCCGTGCTTTCAGACCTGAATTACAAACGCGATGGCTCCGGCGAAGATCCTACCATTTGCCGGGCCATTTTTCCCGAGAAGTCTATCTAAAGCAGGCTTGACGATTCATGCTTGAGTCGGTCCCCGACAGGCATTGTAAATTGAGTTCGTTGTTTCCTCCGTTTGTTGGCGTCAGACCACAAGGCAGCGTTCGGAAGAGAAATCATTTGCAGTAGTTTTCGTGTTTCTTGAAATGCTAACGGAATTTCTGCAATGTCGTTGATCAGAAAGGGTTACTTAGGTAGATGTGCGGTTAAGTATCGTGCACCATAATCCAAAGACATTTTAGTCGGGCTAAAATGCTGACTTTTGGGCGCAATTACTTCCGGCCGCCTGCAAAAACCACATTTGGTAGAAAATGGCTGCTGAAGCAGCACTACCTTTTCTTATTGTCAATTCTCTTGACAGAAAACATGCACAGAATATCCTTTCACGTACTCATTTGGTAGCAAATTACGTCTTAGTCTAATTCAATATTCGAAGATAGGGTATCTTTTTCAACTTCTTAATACGTTTGTACTCGGCTAGCCGTTGCACATGGGGTTTAGGACCTCAAAACTACCGGCTGAGTGCATGTTAATGCAGGGAACCTCACATGTATCAACACCACCAAGGAGATACCACAGAAGACTCGTAGGACTCGTATGGGCTGTTTTGCTTAATCCATGAGAATAGCAGATATGTGCTATACTATTTGAATGGACATCTCGTGGTTTTAACATCCCATAATCCCAAAGTTTTTTTTAACCGAAAAGCACATTACCATCGAGTATTAAGTGTTGAGACGTAAGCTTCTACCAGATAAGCACAAAAAGTATACTTATGAATTTTTTCGGGCAACGAAAATAAACGTGAAAATTTGAAAATACTCCAGTAACTATTTTTTAGTGAGTGTAGTTTTTGAATTTGTCCTGAAGGACGTACGCTCAAAATTCGGCGTCCTAGTGTGACTGGAGTATCTCAGGATTGTTGCACAATAATTATTATTACAACTCGGCGTTAGCAGCTATGTCTAACCAAAACATTTTAGAATTTCCGTAAACATTTCCGTAAGACACTCCATCTACCGTACTTGAGTTTTTATGATTGTTACGTAATCGCAACCTTATACTTTTTGGGGCACTTCTTGTCCCAGATTTGAATCCTGTGCCCCAGTAATCTTACCGCTGTTGACTCAGCACTCAGTTCGTCAGTCTTGAAGGCCTGATTCACGGGCAGCCCTTCTTATAGACCGTTTTTCCATGCCAGCTCGTGGAAGTGTCGATCAACCAGCAACTGAGATCTCGAACAGGTTTTGTCATTCCGAAATTGCTGCCTCCGAATGGTACCGTAAGATTGTACTTTACCAAGGGGTTTACTTGAGCCTATTTAATTGAAACTAGCCCGACGTCTAGAGTTCGTGATGAAAATACCTCTCGTAGTATTTTGTGAGTTTTTCACACAAGCTCTTAGTCTGTCTTCCACCTAGGCGATGTCGCTGGTGTGTCCTTGGCTTGCCTACAAGATGCATTATCGCGTTCCTGCACTTAGGCATTTGTTTCATTGTTCTTGCCTTTATAAGTGCCACAAAGATGGACACTGTGCCCATGCTTCCCTCTGAAGGCTCGAAAGAAACTTTGCCGTCGTCAAGGCTTCAACGTTTCTTTCCCCACTTTGATTATTTCAGGATATTGCTTGTGTAATCGGTCGTCGTAGCATTGTGGGATGTTTGAGTAATCCAAGCGCTTATGGACGACTTCTAGTTTTTACCTGCTGTTTACCTGTCCAATTTAATAACTGGGTTCTTTCAACAATCAGAGCCTCAAACGTCGGTCCATGCAAAAATTTGGTCTGCCCAGACTCCCGCCAACTTCAGTAGAAGTCCTTCCGAGCAACCTACCGACAGGTTGTCTAGCGAGGTAGTTCGACGCGAACCCCGAAGCCGGTCTTCTGTCTTCTACTCCGATGAACCATTTTTCAATCCCCAGACGGCCTCCCCTCAGCAAAATCCCGGTAACACGCCTTCACGACCAGTGCTTCGCTTCGATCCGCTCGACTCGGCGTCAGTCCTCCAGGAACAGGAACATAGACCTACAAACACACCAATCCGCAGCAGAGGCTTAGACGATATTGACAATAATTTGGACAACCACATCGTTACTCGTCAGTCTCCTACTCCCGTGGCCCGGTCTACCAGTCGATTCTCTTTTTTCCGTCCTCTGCAGACGGCGCCACTGTAAGTATCCGTCTGTATTGTTTTGAAAATGCCCAAGTCATGTTAGTCTACTCTAGGAGCAGTACTGAATGGGAGGAAGCGTAAACTACTAGACGATAATTCTCCATGCTGCTGCCAAGCGTCATCTCCATTATTCCCCTCAAACGCCCAGTAGAAATTAAAGTCTCGCGTCACCTCCATAGGGCGTATCCAATTGTTTGGTCCCGAATCCGTTGTGCCAAACTGTCTCGACTTCGTATGTGGAATCTTCCGGCAGTTTGCCTACTAGCTAGTTGTTGAGTTGTTTGAAAAAATCTGGTCCTATTGACACCGGTTTCTCGTGTTTGTGCTCTTGTTTGGGAGTAGGCTGGCTTGCCATAGAATTGCGCGGATGTGTTTGAATGAGGAGCGTAGACCTAGTATTGTGCTAAAAATCCTAGTAATGACAGGCCTAAAACGTCTACCCTGGCAGCTACCTTCCTTTTAGTTTGGATGCCTTCGATTATACTCTGTCGATCATACGGTCATTTGCTCCTCTCCTCCCAGTTGCTTGTTTTCGTGTTATTTGCCATTTAGGCCTTTTTATGTAGTCCCCTTGGAACTTTCCTCTTCCCAGCGAAGCTAAGTTAAGGGCAGTTCGACCACTACGAACGACGACGTCCACGTGTCCCACGTAGTTGAGCGCATGATGGTGATCTGCGCATGAATCAGTGTATAATGAGGCAGACTTGATCATAATCTACCGCACCACGCTGCGATGACGAGACGATGTCGAGCCGACCGGAGGTGAGCTCAATAACAGGGACTGACAGAGCTGGACAGACTGTCTACGCGTGCTACACACCGTGTGGTCCCCACCACATGCACCAGGACTCTGTAAGCGTGACTCGGATCTCAAATGAGTATGCCGTACAAGTCAAATTGAGAATGAGCCTGGGAAGGGTCGAGCCATCCCGTTAGGTGGCAATTTTTCAAAATAGGACTCTTCCCGCGCCATGATATAGTCGAGCGTGTGGATTTATTACAGTTAGGAATGTGCTGACTTGCAATGGGGATTGATTTTCCAGTCTCGGCCACAGCCTCTCTTCCTTTTCCCATGCTCTATACGACTGCCCGAGCCTGTCAGTCAGCGGGTACTGGGATTAGACTCAGTGACCGACGCGACATGAAGGTCTGCGTCTAAGACGTGCCAGCGCACGCATACAAGACAGCACACGCGAGACTCTACAGTCCGCTGTGTGCCAGTCTGATATTATGGCCAAGCGCATTTGCAGAGCAACCCGTTAGGGGTGCTAGGACGCAGGACATAGGGCGAAAGTGAATAACAACAACTGAATGAAAACCACCACCGTGTGCTGACTGATTTGTTACGGACTACAATACCCGACAACTTGAAAAGCGTGTCGGTTCGATAATTGAAACGCGTAGGCCTTCTGCATAACCGTCCTCTGCTATTTGTGCAGTTATTTATCTACAGTGTTCGGGCTTTTCCGTTTTAATAATTCATGACCTAAGGACTGACGGCCTGGGCCTCTGCGATTTTGTTGGACTTTTCACAGAGGGCGATGGGGAAATCGATGTTTCTTTTGATTTATGAGGTTCCCGATGGAATCGACGGAATACGACTTAGGAGTTATCAAATTTCTTTTAATTCAAACTTTTCTATTCTTTGAATTTTATTCAAATGCGATAGAGGCATTCACAAAAATTGTCTTAAGTCAAATACGGCTGCTGTGCGCTGTAATGATTGTGTCTTCACCGAAAATATCCTTCCATGCAGACCCAGCCAGTCAATTTTTCTTAAGACCAGTTCTAGGGGCCCAGGATACGCCTATGCGATACTTCGTCAATTTTAGCACCTACCACCACTCCCTGCACGGACAGCGGTTACCTGTGTGCGCATTTGTTCATAGTTGCGAGGCCTTCTGCAGCTCCAATTCTCTCTTTCTCTCTCTCTCCAAGCCTATTCATTGGATAAATTAGTCCAACACGACCGAAAGTGTGCGTAGGCACTGCTTTTGAACAGCCAGTTGACTCCATGTTCCACGTCCCCAACTGACCTAGAACAGATTTCACACTGGAATTGCGATCAGCGCTAAATCGTGCTGGAACCACCACAGTGTAAGTATCAGTCTCGTTTGAGTGGATTTTTCGGATGCCCAAGATTGACGCATAAAATACTTCCCGGTCGAACTGAGCCAGGATCACCATTGCCTACGGCAGCTTCAGTGACATTGTGCAAATAAATTTAGAGAGACTTGCGATGTATCGAACTCACTGCCCGTCTATGTCAATCGTGTTTCAATAGTAGAACTAGGTAAAGGTAACTGTGGAGGAAGGGGGTGAGCATAGGATGTGCAATAGCATGCATAAGTTAGGTCTTTTTGTGGCTACTCTTTGCACAACGACTGCATGTGTATCATAGTATTTAGGTTCGGTCTCTGGTCATGGCCCGACTGTGTTCAAATTTGAGAACCGACATTAATTTGACACAAAGTCTGACTTCCCTTTCTTCATTGCGCGTGAGCCATACTCTGCTGATAATGGAGAAGAATTTCGACTGGTACTTATGCTAGCTTTTCTAATGCGCCTTCAAACTATTCGCGATATACTAACAGTCAGAACTTGAGGGACAGTCAACTGAAAAGGCAACTCAGCCCCCTTCCGGACTGAGGACCAGAAAGCAGTGACCCGTCAATGCGGACTTCGTGATAGCAGTCGTCGATGAGAGATGCGATACATTTTTTGGAGCTGGTTCCGGGTGCGTATGGGGACCGACAAGTGTAAGTATGGATTCAACCGAGTCAGCCACTACACCTAAACCCATTTGCTATCTTGGTCTTGTCTTGTCGCCGGGACATGGCCGGTATGAGAGATGATATTTAGGTAGATACTGCGCAGTTTTCCTATGCTATTTTACGCACACATGCTGAAGTCACGACTGCGCGCTTTCTGGGTCGGCTTTTTTTTATCTTTGTCGGTGACGAGCTGATTACCGGCCTTAGACTGCAGGTCGAAGGAAAAGTATTCCGTTTTGCAGTCAGGATTAGTAAGTGAGGGAATTTTACCTGTCACTGCCAATAAAAGCGAAGAGACGAGTCCCAGGGAGCAGTCTCGAAGAAGGAGACACGATCTCTGGGACAAGAGCTTTATTAGCCTGACATTTCGAATTCCTGCTCGAACCCATCATCAGAGACAACAGTAGATACGGGTGGTCCATGCACAAGGGGCTGCAGTATTTATAGGGTGCAGTCGCAATGCTGCTGCATACCTATGAATATTCACGGTTCCCCCTCCCTTTATCGCGTGTGTTGGATGTTGGTGTGAGGATTTCTCAACCATCTGACAAACCGACCCTGGTGTTGGGAAAAGTGTTTACCTGTGCGCTCCCCGCATGGCTAATTGCTGCACCTAGGCGAAGTCTCAGCACTGAGTATGGAAGGGGAAGGCAATTGCACTCGTTAATGGACTGGGGGCCAGTAAACCATGATTCAAATAGCTCCCGGCTAATGTGATTGTCACATATAGCGAGAATTTCTGCCTCGAACTTTGATGCGTGGCCGGATCTCGTCGACTGAGCTGGCCGTTGAGAGCTGGCGTCATTTCTCCGCACCGCTGCAGCGTGTTCAGCCATTCGCGTTTGGAGCTGTCTTCCGGTTTCTCCGACTTAGTTGCTTTGTCCGCAACTGCACCAGATCCGATAAACGACTCCAGACGTTTCTAGCCGTGGCAGTGGGTCTTTCAGTTTCATTTCCTGACGCCTGATGGTTGCCTCCGGTCTGTATGCAGCTCCAACCCCAATTGGTGCGAGAAGGCGGCCGAGAGATTCCGAAACGTTCTTGGCATACGGAAACGGTCGCCAAAATTTGGGGTCCATGCGGTTTGGCCATTTGTCCCTTTTGCGTATGCACCGGTTGACGAAGTTGCGCGGTCAGCCATTGGCTTTTAAGACCCATCGGAGGTATTGTAGTTTGGCAATCTTGTCTTCCGGCAGTACGTTTCAGCACTCCGTTAGAGCGTCCTTACACAACTGCGTTTGTGGTTGTCACTGTGGCCTGTCACTGCTGTTGTATCGTGATCCTGTGACAAAACTGGCAGGGTTTTTATTTAATAGACAAAAAGTTGGGTTGGATCCCAGGGCCTTCCCGGCCTGCAACCGCAGTATGGCCCGCAGGCGACGGTAAATAAGTCAGAAATGGCTGTTGCAGCGTCCACTGTCTTAATGTTTCTCATTGATTGCTCGTGATTGGGTTTCGAGACAGTACCAGACTTGCGCACTCCGTACCGTAATCAGAATAGCGTGCTTAACTCCTCTCGTGCGATTTTTCAGAACAATTGATGTGTCAATTTGCCACTGTGCAGCCCGTACGCCATTTATTCTGCCTCCTTTTAAGTCCCATACGCATTGGGAGTTTTTTGGAGTGCCCTCCGGGTTTTGGCGTCCATCGATTTTACCTGCGAGTGGGGCTTTCAAAGTCACTTTGGTACCTTCTCGCGTAGACATCCCTCTTCCGGTTTTTTTTCTACCCCAGCCGTTCTGGATGGGTAGCGTGCTACCTTACACTCACTGTCTTTTTCAGCAAAGATGCAGAAACGTCCACGTCTGCCAGTCTGCTTTTTTCGCCGCCGCACACGGCTGATCAGTCGCAGTCCTACTGGCCCTCGTTTTCTCTCAGACGCCGATCGGGGTCGGGCGTTTTGTCTGATGACGCAGATAGTCAGTGGGAGTATTCACGTCGACGTCAGACAAATGGCCGCATGGTCGATGTCGACGCGAACGCTGTGTCTTCCACACTCAACCGACTTGTCAGCTCACTGGGCCGACATGTGCCTAACTTAATTTTGCTCGCTGGCTTCGCCCTCTTCGTTGTTCTGCTCTCTTGCTACTTCCTCTTGAAGGACAAACACGGCAATGTTGGGCGGATTGCTGGTATGGCTTAGCATACAAATTTTTTGTTTCTATTACAACCCTCCTGTAACATTACGTTCCGCATTTTATTTTTCGACCCTTATCCATTTTTTTCGATGTTTAGACAAGTTACCTATATCGTAGAATGCTTTCTTCGACTTCGTCGCTGATAGCCTGCTATAGTTATTCCACTGAAATAATTCCAGTCTTATGTGTTGCTGCCGCTGTCGTTGTTGCTGCTGCCGCTACTACTACTACTACTGCTGCTGCTACTACTACTACTACTACTACTACTACTACTACTACTACTACTACTCCTACTACTACTACTACTACTACTACTACTACTACTACTACTACTACTACTACTACTACTACTACTACTACTACTACTACTACTACTACTACTACTACTACTACTACTACTACCACTACTACTACTACTACTACTACTACTACTACTACTACTACCACCAACACTACTACTACTACTACTATTACTACTACTACTACTACTACTACTGCTACTACTACTACCACCACCACCACCACTACTACTAACAATACTAATATTACTGCTGTTATCACTCTACTCCGCACGTTTTTAATCACACAGGAATCCCTTTTTGGACGCGATAATGTGTACCGCAGTCCATTGCTTTTATCATGCACACAATCACCTGTTTGCGCTGACTTTTGTTCCGTTTTTGTCCATCGTTCTGTACATTCAGTAGTTTAGGTATTGTCTTACCTCATTTTTAGAAGTTTGTCATTTTGTTTCGAGTAGCTGTCAAACATGACGGTTGACAGGTAACCTTCTCACATGCGTTATGCTGGAAAACATAGGACCGTTTAGAGTGACTATTTTGAGCATTTTACCGGTTGCAGGGGCAGTTTGTCGATCCCCCTCCCCCCAGTCCGCGTAGTTTGAGTCAGAATGAAATCTTTTCAAAATGGTTTCAATCGCGTTTTTGTTCTATTTTTTAGATCTTCAAAAGCTAAGTTGTCCTCCCGGAGACGTTGAGTCTCATAACCGTGGTGTAAGTTTGCTTGCTAGTTGCTTTCCATACTTGACCGGCGAAAATGCATCTTTTAAGAGAAAAAGTGTATTTTCCTTCGCTTTCCACCAGGAATGCTTGAATTCTCAGGAACTGTCAGTCTCCCTGAACTTGGCACACATTCTGGTTGAAATTCTCAGTCGATATGCAGGTAAGCAAAATCTTTCTGCCATGTATATCTACAGTTTTTTGCCTATAGAACCTTAGTTTAACTGCATTTTCAACACGGACCTATAAGGCGACTAGGTGACTTATTGACGCCACGTCGATGTTCCCATTTCGTTCTTGTGCATGAATTTTTTTTACAACGATAATGAAAGTCGATCCATCGTGCCATAATCTGGGGGAACGAAGGAGAGCTCTAACGCGAACCTTCGGTCGCGTATTTTGTATCTGCTCAAACGACGCTGCCAAAGACATATTGCTAGACTTGTCAAAGCGGCAAGACTGTCCTAGCTCTGGGCATCCCAAAGCGTGTTTTTTACCCATTCGATGTCAAATGACTAAAAGTCGGTGACCTTCTGGAGAAAAACCAGGTGTACGCAAATCTGAACTGTTTGCTTGCATCTCTTCGCCTGACTGAAAATGCCTGAAAGTGCTTATAGACTCTTTAAAAACGATGGCCATAATCTCATCGGAATTCATTTTGAGCCCTTTAGATCAGTACGCAAAATGTCGTTCCTTAATTGCCGACCTGCCAAATTAGTATGTTCTGCGTGCCAAATTAAAATTCTCATGGTTCGTGTTGTTGGTTTCTGGCTTGCCTGCTCCACCTTGCCGAAAATTGTCGAATTGGCATTCAGTTTAGCAAATCGGCCACGTGCCGAGGCGGTGTTACTGAAAGTGTATAAACACGAAGATGGGACCTCTGGCGTCGATTTATGACTAGCTCGACCGCTGGGAGCTTCATTTTCCTTTTGTTGGCAGAGCATGGATGCACGGTGAAATCATCCAGGCATTACACGACCTTCCAGCTTAATTACCGGGGTTCAACTCAATTTCCGCTCGATCTCTATGGTTTCGGCCGTGTAAGATACAGTAGGGGGTTGCTCTTTTACGAGTAAATGAAACTCCTAAAAGGTAGTAAAGTTCAATAGCCAGATCCCTCCCCACACAGGATCTCGCTGCTCAGCTCTAATCACTTCGAAGATCCCCGCGAAGAACCCTTTTTTGCTTGTAGATTTCACTCTTCATCTTTGTACAGTGCATTTCAAATATTGTATTTGAGTAGTCTTGGTTATTTTTTTCATACAACCATACGGTCAACTTCTAAATGCCTATTATTACGCGTTTGACGCATCTGCCGAACTCTAGGATCAATAACGTTGCCCGCATTCCTTTGTACACTTTGAATTCTATGCCCTAGCAACTGTCGTGTTATTGGCCGCTAATAATAGTGCTTCTGCTGTTAAATATGATTGGCCTTCATACGGCAGACCGAAATAGCCCTTCTGTTCCCTCCGCTTATTTAGTCGCGCCTCGTTTTCATAGCCCATTTTTACGTCTCCAGACTTCTGATTATCCGTGAACATTCTTCGTCCTCAATTTCTACAAGCGAACTATTCGCCGGCTTATTTTAGTCGATCAGTAGATGAGATCAATGCCCTCTACAACGTACCACGCTGAAGATGCTTGGAACCAATACGGGGACAGGATGGAGCACGACACGTGTTAACCAGGCTGCACAGAGTCCGCGCATCTTTCCACCACTGTCGCACATGGGCGCAGAGGGGGGTAAGGATGTGGTGGCACGTCTAGGTGCAGGCCGCAGGCCCCACCGGTCATTTGCACCCATCCCCAGCATTAGGTGACTGGCCGACCCAGACAGCGAGCCCATTCATAAGAGGAGGAAGAATGAGGTCGACTCTGGAGACTCCATCCCCACTGTGTTTCAGCGCCTTCCTCACCATAAACAATCTGACATGCTTGTATCTATCACGACGCGCTAAAAGTCGTGGCTTGGAAGGCTGCCAATTGACAGGATAACTCGGTCCTTTCAGGACGGAGGGCCGGACTGCAGTAGCTCTTTAATGTAACTTCTAGGGTCTCCTACGCTGGTGAGATCCCAGCGATCCCCTTGTTTCTGTGAATGAGATCGTGTGTGACGCGTAGGTGGGCCTTTTAGCCTGTCAGCTACTGAGTCGGAGCCCCTCCCTCCTAACTCTATTGCCACCGAATCCAGATAGGTAAGGGAGCAGAGAGTGCTACAAGTGTTGCGCAGGTAACCGTTTTGCACTTGCCATGGCGTAAGGCACAAGGTGGACCTCGTCGATCGCGACATTCGGACTGGCAGGTGTCATGGTATGAAGTATGCGTCGATTTACGCAAAACTACAAAGTAATCTGAATCTGACCCAAATCAGTAACGAGCTACTTTCAGCTAAATGAAACAGACAGATGTGTTGAAAGTGTTACCACGTTTTGTCAGAAGAAACAATTTACTTACGAAAACGGAAATACCTGGCACATTTTTGTGTCGAATGAATGTAATTATTCAAAGCCCACGATCCATGTCCATTCAAGCACCAGCCTAGCAAACAGCGTTCGGAAAAGAGCTTTTGCCAATCCTTAGGGTAAATATATCCCAAAAACTACTGTAGTATTGCAGTATATTAGCTGATTGATGTTTACTGGCGTCTTAAAATGATGCTATGATCATTTGGTGTAAGTTTTTGTTTTTGCGTTTTTGGTGCTGTGATTAATGACAACGAGGATGATTTTGTGGCCAGCATGATTTGCGTGGCCAGCATGAAAGTTTTCACTTGGCCGTATGTCGAGAATAGGATTAGCTGATGCAATCATGAGCGTACCAATTTCTCTATGTGAAGATAACTCTCCTTCTGCAAAATTGCCGTATGCTTTCTGGCGACAGCGGAGTCCGCCGAGTGTTCTGGCGACCATGAAGTGTCAGCGAATACTCTCCAGTATTTTTAATCGATTGCCCAAAATGATAGGTTATACAGTAAAAAAAGACAGTTCTTGGGAACTTGTTTGGGTGGCGGTCTTCTTGTATAGATGACGGTTTGGACCATTTCAAAGTTAAAACCTAATCGTTGGAGCAAATGAATGTCCACAACGAGGAGCCTCGATGATTGCGCTCTTAATTAAAAGGAAAATCCAACAAGTTATTCCCCTAATATCCATTTACTGTCCTCTGACTATTTGACTGTTTCATCAGCCCCTTTATTCACTAAACAGTTATTTTTCTTTTCCCCTGAACAGGCGAACACCAGTGCGGGCACTCAGCCGCCAGTCCGCGAATGGATGTAACTACTGCGAGACGGCTTGTCGAGTACCACTTATCCGCGCCCGGATCGAGCTCTTCCCTCAGGCCCAGTGACCTTGACGGACGTGTCTGGCGAAATGTCCTCTTCTTAATTCGTCATGTCGGTCGCAAACACCTCGACATCGCGTCCTATTCTGCGGACGGTAGCGATTCCGGGTAAGCCTGAGGTTTACTTTTGAGCTGTCACCAAAGGCCTATTGGGGACATAAACTTAGCTCCTAGACTGTCGAGTCATCTGCCACCCTTGTGCATATTCTTAAGATTAGGTCCCCAAATAGATTAAAGCGTATCGCCATGCAATTTTAAGTGTTTTGATTTACCTGTCTGAGACTGAGCACAATAAGAACCCTCCAGTAGGATTGCACCAGTCGGTTTCTTCAGCTAGGGCAGATTAATACAGATCGCAGAGTATTGCTGCACCGTTCCGCTGTTCAGTAATTTCATTTAATCACTGACTACCCTGAATTCACCTGTTTCTTTTGCTGCACCCTCATATCGCATAGGATTGACATTGTCTGGGCCTTATTCCATTTGATCTCTTCGGGACGGTTGTCTGTTAGATCCCTCATATCTATTTATCTGTCTGATAAGCCTAAAATGTCCGTAGGGAGAATTACACGTGCCTTCGTTAAACCGTAGCACCAGTTTAACCGAAACGATGCACATCATTTCCCACCTCTTTAAATAGGTCCAATTGAACAGAGGCTAGTTCTGGTAAAATAATTAGGGATTTTCGACTAAATTTACTGCTCGGGTGGGAGTAGAATCGGGTACGCTGGACTGCGGGCTTTTTAAACCCTTTTGAATTCAGCTCTCTGATAATTTTAGTGCCCACAAGGAAATCATCGAGCTGGAAAGTCTTCAGCCTTACATTCCCGGAAAGTGCCGCCTCCGTCTGCTCTTCTTTTCCCTCCTTCACCTCTTGGCAACTCTCCTTTGGATCCTGTTTGTTTTTGCCGTCGCTGGATTATGCGTTTTTGCTGTCTACCGATTTCGTCTGTCAAACAAGCGCCAACGTGATAGGCGTGCCTCCCGCATCCGCGAACTGGTTCACCAAGTAACAGGTGTGTCCATTTGTCAGTTGCCTGCCTCAGGTGATGGAAACTGAGTCCTTGCTTTTTGTTTTTGTGACATTTATCTGCAGTCTGAAACAGTCCTGATACCTTCTTCGTGCGTATGTGTCATGCTGGTTTTGAACCGATTGCTGGATTACGCAGTTTACCGAGCAAGTTAACGTGGCACTTAGTATGAGTAAATGTTCCCTCGCCTCGTGAGGGAAGAAGTTAGGGTTTCCAAACTAATCCACTCCTCCCCTTCACTGCCTCACCAAGGATAGCTGATTATGAAGTCGAACCACCATCCATTCACTTTTTCCCTGGCTGGAAAAAGCGGTCGCGCTATAGAGGCGCTAAACCAAGTCAGGGGTAAAATGGCACACGGCAAGCGTCTACCGTCCCATAACAAATGACACACATGGGAGATATGGCGGCACGCCTAGGCGCAGGCCTTATGTCGCGCCAGCCACTTACACCCAATCCAAACATGAGATAGCTGGCAGGCTCGAACAGCGGACTAATACATGACGGAGAAAAGGGAGATTGAAGTAAACTGGTGCAAGAGGGGCTGGTTGCAAGTCTAGAGTTCCAAATAACGCCATATATTTATTTGCAGTAGCTCACCCCCCTGGTGAACAACTCCCGGTGAGGATAGAGTATGTAACCCTCTGGGTGGTTGTCTGAAGGCTACCATATCATCCTCTTTAGGCGGGTGTGCTTCATAACCGTTTGCCCAGCAATAGGTACCTCTCAACTAACGTGTATCATGTTATTTTTGTAACCAGATTTATACATTTGTTGTCATCCAGGCTGTTGAGAGGCTGAATCATTTTAACTGGTTGACACCCCGAACCACTATTCTCAGGGCAGTTATCACGCCCAACTTATAATAATGTCAGTCTTGGCTTTGCGTCAAACTCCACTCTCGGTCACTCACCTTCCATCTCTCTTTTAAGCGGCAACATAAATAGTGACCTCTATGCCTGTGGCCTTGTGGAGGACTCTGATTATGCTGCTAAAGTCAATTTATTCCACAACATTTATAATCACAAAATTACCATTTTCGACTTCTCATAATTGATTTAGCGGAGCGCTCATGGGGTTCCTAAATGCATTTAGACATCCTGCAGCAGCAACTGAAGAATCGTGAAGTCAACTCCCTGGAGCCGCCATACGTTCCTGTGTCTGTCATTCGCTCCACTCTACGTCGTTCAAATTCAGAGTAAGTTCTAGATTCTCTGCGTCATTTGTCACTTTTGTTTCCTCTTTCGGATATTGATTTACGTTTCAGATAGTAACGCAAATTTTTCTTATGTTTGCTTAAAATGCTCGAACAGTACTTTTACGATCCCTTCAAGGCCTACCGGAGCAGCTCTTATGTACGCATGCATGTACGGATGCATGCGGTCATTCATTTATTCGCATTTCGCCGTTTTGTTCCCAACCCCTTATATTAGTCGTATGATAGGTTGGAGTCAGTGCGTGCGTTAGTGGCCAAATGTTCATGCTTGCCGGAATTTTATGTGAGAAAGTTTTCAGCCTAAATTTTCAAGTCTGGCTACCAGAAGCGGACAACCTGTTCGTTGTGCTACCGGATGCCGATTGAGTCGAAAACCGTGATAATTCTTGGTTGGGAAAACGGGCGGGAGGTCGCATCTGTGACATAGTAATGTGCCGATTGGCTGATGTTAATGGGAGATCCAACTTTCCGGCCGTTTTGTTACCGACTTGCGCGCTTACGCCTTTTTCCCCTGAGGCTCGGATCTGTGCCGGCCTCTAGGGCATAAACAGCGTCACATGACAGCTGCTGATGATCCCTCCATTTCGTCACTGTTTATCCTCACGTAGCCGTGAGTTTGGTTTACGTACTGTCTATTACGTGTAGTTTCAGATGCAATTGCAGTAGATTTGCTAACTCATGAAATGTCAACCAAAATTTCGAAATGCGTTCTCGTTTCGAAAAGATAAATTAAGTAGTGTTGTAAAACTAATCATGATGCAGCATAAATCTATTATGATCCAGTTACCTCAGGCTGTCGGCTTTCGAAAGATCTTATTTTCGGCTGCATGCAAGATCTATACTCTGCAAGATATGAATACTTACGTAGCATGCAATTTTCTCATTGATCTTCGATGCCCTTGAAAATTCAATTATATTTCATGGAAAACGTGCATAAAAATATTCATTCTTTTACTTATTCGGTAGAAAATCACGTCTTCTTCCCAGTTAATACTCAAATGAAGAGTATAATTCGGTTTTAAAAAACTTTTTGATTCCCGAATAATTTTGAACCCGACCTGCTGTTACACTTGCATTCAGGGTTTCAAAACTACAAGCTGCATATTTTCCGTGTACGGAAAACCATGCATTTCTCCACGGTGTTAAGAGGAGACCATATGAGGTTCACAAAATTAAGCACTGGATTTGAGCAATATTGTTAACTTTACAAGCCACATTCGTAAATGCAGATACATGACGTTTCATGAACGGCCATTTAACGGTTTTAAAAAATCTCACAATTAGAAACTTTTTTAAAACCGAATTATACTCTTCTTTTGAGTATGAAATTGGAAGAAGACGTGATTTTCTACCGAATCAGTAAAAGAATGAATATTTTTATGCATGTTTTCCATGAAATATAATTGAATTTTCAAGGGCATCGAAAATCAATAAGAAAATTGCATGCTACGTAAGTAGTCATTTTTTTCAGAGTATAGATCTTGCATGCAGCCGAAAATAAGTTCCTTCGAAAGCCGACACCCTGAGGTAACTGGATCATCATAGATTTATGCTGCATCATGATTAGTTTTACAACACTATTTAATTTATCTTTTCGAAACGAGAACGCATTTCGAAATTTTGGTTGACACTTCATGAGTTAGCACATCTACTGTATGTCATGTAATGTGCTGAGTGATACTGGGTTGTTCGCTAGCACTGGACTAGTCCAGGAGCCGCATGATTTGAGTGTTCGAAGCAGCCTGTTACTGTTAGGTTGTGTCGACACTCCTTTTAAGCGACAATGTGATTCTTTGCTTCGTAGGTCATTTGTGGTATACGGTGAGCCGTCGTAGTCTAGAAAAATTGCTTACATCGTCTGGAAAGCACTGACTCACTGGTTTATGAAGACTTGATGCTAGCCGCCCTTCTCTAATTTGTCGCTTAGCTACTCCCGGCCGACCGCTTATCCTTTCCCCCAATCAGGCTAGGATCCCATAATCGGATGTCTTTTTCCACTTTTGGGCTCGAATGCCTGCACTTGACTGATAGCGAGGTTTTATAAGTAACGCTGCTATTGCATTCCATTCTATCCGTTAGTAGACTCCCACATAAGTCTCAAAACCCAGTTAGCCAAGACGATGGCCCTGAAAATGGACTCACCTGCTGATTCAGCAGTTACCCGGGGGTCAGCTATCTGCTTTTTGTTTGTTAAGTTTACCATAAGCTCACCGGGTGCACACTCAGAGGCAAGAATTTGTCTAAAGTCAGGAACTGTAGGCCCAAGGAGTTTTTCCTACGCGTACTACAGTTATTTTTGAATGCATCTTGGTAAAACCAGCAAAATAATCTGAATGAATGTACTTTCAGCGTTTGCTGTAGAGCCAAAAGTTAATTTGTAAAAAATGTGCTATTTTACTCGATTACAGGATAGGGGTTTCGCGACATTTCGTCGCGCTCATGCCGCGCAAGTTCCGGGTCATGCAGTAGAGGTGAAAGGGGAATCACTGACCGATCTGAAACCAGTTCGAACGCATCCAACAAAACAACAAACTAATATTGAATGACCTCCAATCAAATGAAAATGCGAAATAAGTACTACAAGTACTATTTCGTTGGTGAGGGAGACCAATTTTTTCAGAAAAGTGCGCATTTGAATAAGGCAAACGCGACAAAGCGTGCAGTCTTTATTGACGCCACAAAGTTCGAGACCTCTCATTCAACTGCGTACGGTCATTGCAAAGTGCAGATGTTCGAAACTCAAAAATTCGTGTTATATGAGTAGACCCAAATTTTAGAAGTACTTAATGCTTGTTTATGCAGAAAGTAAGATGACGTGGTCATGTTTAAAAAAAAAAAACATTTTGATTATGTGTCTCCCAAGAATTAGTGTTAAATGAACTCTGGCACAAAGTCGAGCGCGTAACCTCCGGCCATATGTTTCAAGATTTTGTAGCGCAAAATCGATGTACTTTTCCATTTTTGTTCCGTTCAATGTGCGGTTTATAAAGGCTTAATTTGGCCCCTAGAAATGCCACAGAGATAACAGTTTTTATAAGTTCACATACTGACAGACCGGATAGCAACAGATACAGTTGTAAACGCACCATTTTGTGTACATTAAAAGAGCCTTTCTTTTGTCAAGTTGCGGTTCTTTTAAATAGTGGAATGCTTTGGAACTCAGATTGTCCTCTAAGTATCGGTGGACACTTCACGATTTTCAGTTTTTTCAATTGGTTGCTCAGAAAGATAGATTTTGTGCTATGTATTTATCAAAACCTTAAAAATAAGATGCTTCTTTGAAAGCATTTTTCCAAGTAATGTGGGGATGCCCCTTTTCGTAGAGACGGCTATCTGGGTCACATTTGAAGACTCACCCAAACATGGGGCCCACTGTCGAGAAAAATGAACTCCCTCAATAAAATTAAGTGACTAAAACACTTTCGGTTGATTTAAAAAAATTCTCTAATAAGCTAACTATTAAAAAAGTGCCTTTATGCTGTATTTTGTCGACGGATGTCCACGTACTTAGCCTTTTTACACGATAAAGTTATGAAGAGAGTTTGCGTTTTTGCGCGTTTTTTGCCACTGGTAAATTTTTCTGCCGAAAACTGAAGAACTGACTGTTTTCATTATATTGCAGCCACTTTCGATATCTTTACTAACTTTTAGGCTCCGTTTTCCGACTAGACCGCAAAGAAAGTACCATTTCATGTGTTCAAAATTTAAAATGACCATTCGATTACGATCATTTTGACAATCACTTATAACGTAGTCGCAATTGGCATGACAATGCCAGCAAATGTAAACAAACAATTGCCTGTAGGTGTTAGTACTGGGCTTTAGGACGCACAATCACACCGATTTGCAGATCTGCCTTAAAAATCCATAAAATTCTGGTTTTTCAATAATAGCCTCTGTTCACGACCAGTTTGTCACAATTTTCCTCAAAAGAAACCATTTTTCAATTGCGACAAGTCTTTTTTCGTAAAACTCGAAAGTAAACTACTATCCTCTAAAAAAAGCCGCATGTGAGAACTAAGTCTGGGATAGTTATTAACGTATGAAATTGTCCGAATGTAGGGTAACCTAGGTTTCTTCTCAGATTATTTTTTTGCCTAATAAAGTTGGTCAAACACCCGAGAAAGGACATTTTTTCGGAAGAGGCTGGGCGAATGAGCTAAATGCGCAAGGTGTTAGGTGCCAAAAGATTATCATATCAGTTCTCGTCATCGCGCTCCATGAGTTAGGCCACTTACTGTTTATCTTATGATCAATGCCATTCTCCTTTTCGTATCTGCCTGGAAATTGATTTTCGGGCTGATTTCTTACTCGCAGGCCGGCTACAGATGTCACGCTGATTGCCAGCGCATCACGGTCTTCAAGCTTGCTGCTTTTTCTCTTTCAGTGTGGACGACCTGTGGTCTGAGTTAGAGCAGCACGTGCACCTAGTGGAGGGCTGCATTCTGGTGCAGGAGTGGCGTGGCGTCGGTGAGACCTGGCAGTGGCAGGGCGGCAGCGGCTGGCAGGGATCTGGTAAGCTGAGCAGTCTTTCCTCTCGAAGCCTGTCGGAGTGTTCCACGGTCAGGGGCGCACAACGCCCCCCCTCAACTCCTAACTACCAGTCCTACGGTGAAATCACCCCACCTCACCCTGTCCCGGCATATGCTCTTTCCTCTCCTCAATTGCCCTCCAGCGGGAACTTGGGTACTTCTCTATTTTCATCCAACGCATCCGCGGTCCCCTCGCCCCCTGCCGACTCTCCCAGCTGGTATTGGCGATGGGGATACAGTCTCAACTACAACCCCAAACTCTAAGCCAGTGTTGCACTGAGCACCAAAAGAGAAAGCAAAAGGTTACCTGGGAAGGAAGAGCGAGTGTCAGTGAGAGGTGGACATCAAAGCTAACGACCTGTATCATAAAGTGACTCGGCTGACATCACTGTCTGTGTCCAAATCATCGTAGGATCTCGTTTTACCTTGTACTATAAGGACAAAGTCCTTGCGGTGGTCTGTTCACCATGCACTTTCCCTGACTCCTCCCTCCTCCCCATTACGAAAACGTTTTTTTATGAGCAACCGTTGCCACGCCTTGGTAGACGCTATTTTTTTGCTTCTGACAGCAGTCACTCACGGCTCAGCTATTTTGGCAATTTTGCGGTGTAGAAATCGTCCACGAACAACTGCGCCCAGAAGCATTTTCTTTCACCATTGTTTTTGTTTCATCGTCATTCCACTCACGCCACGCCTAGATCGAGCAATAAACTTGCATATCCCAAAAATGGTTATTTTTACTCAACGGCTCATAGATGAGCAAAGGCCGCGGCCACTGCAATGTTTGCTTACACGCCCTGGTGACTTTTAGAGCCCGCAAAACCGTCAAATCCTCCTTCTGCTTCGGTAGTCATGCCGGCTGAGCCTAGAACTAGACGCATATCGGCTGGGTCGCATAACTCATATTTAATCCCCTGACCCGTTGTCTCCCGTTTTTATATGTTCTTATACGCACGAATTGCGCCATTACAGGCCTGCTATGCCTGCTTTTCTTGGGGGTTTTAGGTCAACGCATTCACCTAGTAATACCTCGGTTGCATCAGCCGGCCACCAATGCACGCCTGAAGCCTGAATTATTGAACTTTCTTCAGAGGATCGCAGATCAGTTATCGCTGCTCTAGTGATTAAAACACTAAGGACCCCGGGGACTTTTTTAAGAGTTCGCACTTCAACACCATGTGCAAGCATTCGTTTTTGCGTAAGCGCTGTGGGGCAACTGTGCACATTGCCTGGGTGCTAGTGTCTAAATAAAAGTTGCCGACATTCTGACATTATTTAGCCACCACTGTTCGAGTCGGGACCGCTCAGGGGGACTCCTGCGCCACCAGCGTGGTTTTTCTTAGTTGTACTTCCAGTCGTGACTTCCAGGCTTCCTGGTCTTTGTTCGCATTATTGCCTGTTGATTTGAAAACGCTCCCGAGTTCTTCCTTAATCATCGCTGGTAGCTTGCTGTTTCCGCATTTTCTGAAACAATTGGGCACGTACCGGTCGTGCATAATTCTCGATCATCCTACAATCGAATTCTTAACTGATGTTGTCAAATAACGGAGGAGTAAATCACCTGGGGTGTCTAGACATCTTGCGTTCTGTTTTTTACAGCGTGCGGTTGCTCTGCGACGCATCCAACTGGTCTGGGGTGTACGCCACCCTACGCCAATTTTTCGTGTACTCGCGCGCTCTAGTGTATATGCATATTTAAGTGCACGTAATCTGATTCGCTGGGTATAACGAACTCGAATGTCTGTGATACGCACGAGGGCGGTGAGCGGCGAATGTCTAGCCAACCACTGCTCTTGTTACTGCATATCCAATCATATTACCTGCATCATACCGTTAAAACGGAATGAGAAAGGAATTGGCAGTGGGGTCGGCGCTGCACGAGCTCCCCTTACGATAATCCAATCCATGCGTTGGTCATAAGTGCTTCACCGTGGCCATATGACGGACGAAACGCTTCCCTCAATATGTCAGTATCTAATTTAGGCCTCGACGGCGGCTTAGTTACCTGGTTACCGTCCCCTCCTGTCAGTCCACTACTTATGACCAAAAAAACTCAAGGCGACCGTATTGTCGCCCACTCCTTTTTAAGCGGAGGCATGTCCGTTTAGGAAACTAGGCCTTAATTTGTGCCCATATTCGATGTTAATGTGCGCAAAACGGTTTAAACCCTTAAACCGTTCCCTTGTCCTTCTCATTTAGTATTGCCTTGCGATACCGTGCAAATTTGAACTGACCTCTGGCAATTGGGCGGCATGTGTAATACATTAATATAAAAACTACTTATTGCGTGTTAGTCTGGCTGTTTTTTTTTCAGTCATTATTGGCTGTGCATACGCTCGTATCTGGGACAGCTCGTCTTTTAACCACTCACAATGCCGTTTTTCTGCCATTCTTTTGGCCTGGAACTTTCGTTTTTCACTGGTCACCTTATTTAACGACAGCTTAACAAATGTCTACGCGACGTCCTCTGTTCGAGACTGCTAGTACATTCCCGAGTGCGTGCCTATACTGCTCCAGCGGAGCTAAAAATAACAGTCGTGTCACCTTTGTTTGAGTCACCTTCTATTGTCCTGGGTATTAAAGCTACCAAAAAGCTCCGATGCAGAATTCCGTTGGTCAATCCCTCTGCCGGCCACGGAGTTTGTTTATTAAAACCCGACTCTTCCTTTTGCTCCATGATCTTGTTATTTAGTGAGTCTGTCCAACCTCTGTTTTCCGCCCGGCCTTAAGCCATAAATTAGACTTGTGGACGGAAAAATCGATGGCATATTCTGAAGACTTCCAGTTTTATTGGTTTTGAATGCAAACTACAAGTTTGTCTGCGTTTGTTTGCTTTATTTGCAACCAAAGCAGCTCCTAAGCAAAAACTTAGACTTTTGTCGGCCGATTGTAGCGGCTTGACCGAACAGCTGAAGGAAGCAATTTAGTCTGCAATGTCAAGTAAACGCCCTTTCGTCCTTCCCTCTTCTGTCGTGTCCATGAAAAGGTTTTTTACTGCCTGACCTGTGTGATCACGCTCAAATGTTGTTGAAGATTCCTTACTTATGCTCCCTTTTTCTCATCCTCACAGCCCTCCTGGATCAAACGCAAAGGTTACCTTTCACCGTGCCACCGACGGAATGTCTGAAGATTCGAAACATGTTCACAATGGAGTGAGTCTTCTATCACTTTTCTCTGATCTGCGAGGGTAGTGTGCGACTACCCGGTGGTATCGTTTCTTTCGTGTTATTCAGTCCATCTAGACTTTGTTTATCAGCGGTGAATCGGTTAGGTGTGTTTGTGATTCTCACAATTTGTGTCATAAACAACCGGTTTTCACGAGGTTGGCGACTTGAGGCAGCGTTAGCACCCATAGAAAATGTATAGCCTATCGAGGAATGTTGGCAAGAAGGCAGCCGACTCTACTTGAACCATAGGCGGGAGAACATTACCAACAAAGACAAGGGAGACTGGAATGGCCATTTCAGGCTTGTTAGCCGTCATTAGCAAGTCATACACAACCCCGGAACGTGCAACCTCCTAGGCTCGAACTCGCGACCTGTTGGTGTAGCTGGCTTACGACAGTTAAAAAACCAGGAATGACCATTCTTGTCTTTGTCGGTAACGTATTACGCGCCGATTTGCGGCTGCTGGCGGAGCTCGAGCGAGCTCCAAGGCACAACGAGACGGGCGAGTTCCATATCGTGTTCGGTGTGCCCCCTCCTTCACCATTGCTAAGACTTGACCTATTGGTTGGTTGGCAGAACGTTTTCGGTTAGAGTTCTGTGGCCAGATTTTCCCCGTCCTACGCTCAAGGTATACTTGGCTAGCAAAAGCGAATAAGCCAGAAATAGCCATCTCAATCATCTCTGTTTTTATCGCTATTTCTTCTCGATTACTGTTGGATCCTCTACGCGGCTGCATACATAGACTGTAAATTTGAGTTCCAGGTCAAGGTAGGTCGGCGAACGCTACTCTTATTTGGCTTTATGTAATTGTCCGCCGTAATCCTGTGTTATGTAGCAGTCGAAGGGAATATATCATGAAATTGGAACAGGCATGTGTCAGTTCGACCGTCGCGCCCGACGATGTCCACCATGTGCTCCACAGAAATGTGAGAACAGACACGGCGACTTGCGCAGCATCCACGGCACCCCCTCCTCTCTCCACCTGGGCCCGGTGTCAAGACACAGTCAAGAAGGCCGGATGCGGGAGGGCGCGCAGGCGGCTGGCAAGGTCGGACCTGCACGTAGGCGTACCACTACACATCCTGGTTCACAACCAGCACTCTACTAGGATTTTAACCAACAGTAACACAACAGCGGGTTAGAAAGAGGAGGCTGACTGGGCAGCCACGCATACGACCTGTGTATCCGCCGTGAGCGCAAGCGCATCTACCGGCAGGGAACTAGGTGCTAACGAACTGTCAGTGAACAGCAGGCCGCGAGGACCATCGTTTGCTGAATCATGTTATAGCAAACGCAAACAGACCTCAAGACCGGCACTGACGTGTACAAATCCTTCGTCGATCTAGCAAAGTCCTGTACTGTGGGAAATAGCGATGAAAGTCGATTGTCCAAAAATGTTCGTACAAGTTGGCAGGCAGTTGCGTCACGGACAAGAGGTGAACCTCGAGAGCTTTCGGTAAATAATTGGGTGGAGCGGCGTTACTTGCTCGCTCTACCTTTTGCATAAGCGAACAACACTCACCGTATTTGCCCGCAATATGTTTGGCCTCGTCAGGTAGTCGCATAGCAACCACACGTGTACCAGAATATCATGTCCGGGCACTAAACTCCAAGTACTGCACTTAATAATTTTTGAGATTATTACCTATACCTACAGATTTGTTAGACGAGCTGGCTTTCTTGCTTACCTTCTGTGTCTAACTGCATATGTCACTATATCACTTTGGGAATCGAAGCTCTCCAAGTAAATGAAAGCCCCGAAGACCGACATAATTCCACGGATGCTGTTCACAGAAGGCCAAAGTATTTTAATGCACCAATCTTATCACGGCGACTTGTGTCCACTTGAGCAGATTTCGAGTTGCGCCCTAGCAATCATCCTGGTCACTGGGAAAAGGAACTAAACGTCTATAGATGATTTACATATTATACCTTGAGCCAAATGATGGCTGCCGAATCCATCCTCGGTACTCCTAACGGCATTAGCACACAAGGGAGTTGTAAAACAAGCTAACTTTAAAAGTACGACTCTTGATTTTGACAAACGACACTTCCCCGCTAACCATCACTTTTGATAATACTCACTTTTATATGACTTTTTGACCGTCTTTTTCAACTATTTTCTCTGTTTGCCCCACATGGTGGGCTTAGGTATGTTGACTTGCGCGTAATTAAGTTTCTAATGTGATAGTAGACTTGCCCAGCACCTACCGCACTCCCCTCCCCCATCCCTCTAAAGCCAATGTTAAGATCACTGGAGGCGGGATCGGGCACAGTCGGCTTGCGCGGCGTGAGTCTGCGCCCAGGCATGCCGCGTGCCCCCTCCGTTTATGGCATTTGTTATTTGTACGCATCCCCATCAACGCCTACCATGTCCTGATCTTGCCCTCCTGTTCTGTTGGGAGTGCCTACACTCCCAAGAACAAGGCCGACCAATCATTGGAGACCACTTGCGTTTGCTCTCTGTACAGCGCTGTCATCTTAATCGTGGCGCCTCTCCTCTGGCTACTCCCCCCTTCCCGAAGGGCATTGGGCCGAACGCCGGCTTACCAGAAGTCTTTGATTTCAGATAATGGCTCTCAGTTTACTGAGTCGACGTTTGAGAATTCTGCCGTCAGAACAACACAATGCATCTTCGCTCCCCGCCCTACCATCGTCAGTCCAACGGTCAGACGGGGCGTTTTGTCGACACGTTTAAGAGAGCTCTCTTGAAAGCTCGTGGAAGGGGATCACAGACGAGATAGTCCAGGCCTTCCTGTTTTCCTACGTGACAACACCGATCCCGGCGTCCCCCGATGGCGTTTCTCCTGCCGAAGCTTTGATGGGCCGTAAACTGCGTACAACGTTTCATGCACTTGTTTCTACCGGTGTTTAGCCCACGCAGACTTCTCCATTCTCTCGAAACAAGCTTTTCGTCGGAACACCTGTCTACGTTCGTGATTATCGAACTGGGTTCCCAGTCAGGGTCCGACTTCCACTTCAGCCATGCGAAGCCACTGCTGCGCTTGCCCTCTCGCAGGGGGCGAACCATGGGCCATTACTCGTTGGCCGACCTGCCATCACACGATTGAAAGGACACCTTATTAACATCTGTATAGTTTTCTTCAGTTTGTCAACGTTAGATGCCGAGCAGCACATTAAAGAGGCCTTATACTCTCGACTCTCTTGCAGTAGGGCTGGAGCAGCCTTATCGGCCTCTTTGGATTTGGTTCACAATGCTACTATTGCGGAGGAGTATTAAGTTTTACTGAGCAGAGCTGGCTGGTTGCTTTTAACACATTCATCCTCGCCGCAAATATATGCTGACCTTATGGCGGATTACTGCGTGGTGCCGAAACTGACAACGCTTGTGGGTCAGAGCATGTTCTTCGCGGACGCTTGGGGATTAATCTCATCTGCGCCAACAATGTCTCACGCAAGAAGCCTTGTTGCGATTTGCGACGGCGTAGCACGGACGAGGCCGCGGACGAAAATCGGGTTTCTTTTTGCAACCGATATCGAAGGAACCACCAGCAAATAATCATCGTTCTAATCTTCAATTCACGAGGTAGCTGAGAGAATTATACTCGCCCAGCCGCAGTGCCTGAATCGGCTCAAAAGCCTTTGTAATTATCTGCGTGGCAAACTCGAGTTCAGTTCCGGAAAAAGGTGTCCCCTCTCCAGCTCCGAAAAATGGTAGGAAAGTTGACTGGAATTGGTCTCGAAAAATATTGGGTTTATGGGAGACCTCTATGAAACAGGCTTTACACGTCGGGGGCACTCGTGAACTTGTGCAATTTAATGATCAAGTTAGTGATGGGTCCCTAGTGCCGGTAATCCTGCTTGTGATGTGGTTGGCGGTGTAATTGCCGACGACTTGGCCACGGTTGAGCGCTGCGCCGAGCACCTCGGAAATCTTCGCAACTTTGACGACCAACCTATCAGCCCTCATCCGTGTACACTGGAGTTGCATCCCTCCCCAGAAAAATAGGGCAGCTCATCAACAAAGCGCCGGCGGAAACGGCATTACCCTGATGCACACAAGTCTTGTGTCAATACTTACGTCCTGACTGCATGAGATAATTTAGCAGGCATTTGGGAATAAGCTCGTTTTTGATGACTGGGATCGGGCCATCCCTATGCCTGTCATCGAGAAGCGAAATAAAGGAGACTGCGCCAATGGCCGTATCATAAGTATTATCGGCACTGCTGCAAAGGCAGACGGTTTCCGATTTTGGGTGACTTGAGAGCAAGACCTAGCCCAGTCGGGTTCCAAGCAGGATGTGATTGCTCGACCATGTATTCGAAAACTCCACACTAACTGCCATCAACCGACACCTACGCGCCTTTTTTGTTTATACTGCAGCGTTATGTTTCGTTCGCTGTGAGTCCCTGTGGCGGATATCTGCAGAAATCGTCCTCGCGGTCAAGGCTCACTACTGCGCATGTTATGATCCGTAACAATAACACACAGCCTTCTGTCGCTCTTGAATGGGTTTTCGGAGGGACTTCACGCCGTCCTGGCATTGCCTTATTCTCATCCAGAAGCTGGCTGACGGGCCTCAACTGTGCTGTCGTCCGTCTCAAGTCAAATTATACTGACTTCTGAACGTGTTATGGGCAAATAAAGTCGTCGAACTAGTGGTTTATCTGTCGACTACAGAAAGATCAGCCGTTTCTAAACTGCATTTGTGATGACAAGAAGAAATCTATCGAAATTATTGGTTGCCAGTTTTAAGAAGTGCACCTTTCTAATTTGACAGCGGCGACGTTGTTGTCTAGTGGGCATGCTAAAGACGGCGCCGTCCGGCGGATCCCTGCTAGTCGCATGACTTCGAGAATTCCTTGAAAGTTTCTGTGGATTAAAAATCACTAGTGAAACTGTTTGCACTCCATAATTTTTTCTGATGAATCAGACTTGAAAGTGCAAACCTAAACAGTAACAGTGGACTGACTGCTAGCTGATATAATAGAACACTCGAGCGAAGTTCAGTGAATTGACGGTTTGAATCCGGTCAATCACGAAAGTTTTCAGTTTATCCTCATTCGCTTTCTTTAAAGGCTCGCCAACCTCTGTGTGATTACCATATTTTTCTTCTACATCTTTTTGCAGCAAACTCGATTTCGACGCCCAGAAGCGTCTAAAGCGGGAAATACTGAAGCGCGTTTCCGGGTGCGGTCCAATTTTTCATATCGGTTTGGATAATCAGGACAACGAGGTAACTGGACTCACCATTTGCTTTACTTTTCTCGACATCTTTGTTGCTCGACTTAGGCGTTTTTGCCAACTACTGCAAACGAAACCTGAAACGCTACGTTCCTAGGGGACTCTGCGAAAATCTGTCAGATTTAAGCAGACGTGGTAGTTGATTTTCTATTCTTTTCTCTGACTGTATTCCTGCATTTTACACTACATGCCACCATACCTGTTTGTTAGCTAGATATCAGCCGGCACTTGAGGCGTCCATTAGTAGGTTACAATGGACTGCATGCCGAGAAAGATACGCTGACGTCCTGACCGACTACAAGTAGTTAGGAAGTTCTTAAATGCATTTTGCCTCTCTAGACCAGTGTCAGATTTATCTTGCTCACGAATGAACGCGCCCTCACAATTTTTTTTATTTTAACTGCAGGGCCTGGTTTATATGAAATGCGCCAGTCCTGAGGTGGCGGGCAACGTGTATCAGGCTGTACACGCCAATTACTTTGATAGTAAGTCTTCCCAAGCCGCACACAGCTTTCTACCCAAACACACTTAACTTTGGCTTACAGGGACGTAATATTGCGTCTATGAGATAAAACGTGATCGAAGTGGTCTCGAGTTCATTTTCTCCCACAACCAATCTCGTTGAATCGTCAGGCGGAGCGTCGGAGTCTACGATCAACTGACCGTGCCCTCTGATTCCCCTCCTCTGTTGTGTTTATTTCCATACAATGACTAACGAGCGATTGCTGTATTCGCCCATGCGGCGTACATTTGCAGAGCACTTGGGAGATTGTAGGAATCTGATCATAATATCAGTTTTTTTGTCGAATATATTTCCTTGCTGTAGGTTAAAGTGTCCTAGTTGTACTCTCGTAGTCATATTTACATTTGATGTGGGAACACTTTGACTTTGCGTGACCTCAATGTGAAATCTAAGCGTTCAGTTCTGTCTTGCCATTCCATTGCTATTTTCAGCAGTTTTCACCTCCCATGATTGGCTGACACTAACCTAACTTGACCGTTACTTCCTTTGCAGCACAGCTCAACTGACTACGAGTTGTCTACAAGCGCGCCTGCTAGAAGTTTGTTTTTTTGCCTTTTAGGCCACCTTTTGAACGTGAAATTTCTTCGGGCCTCGAAGTATTATATTCGGTTTCCGGAAGCGCACGATGCCACTATGCCTCTAAAAGTGTCAGATTTTGAGTGACTGGAGGAAATAAGTTTCCGCAGTATCATACACGACTTGTAAAAATTGTGAACTTCAATTTTGGCTTTCGGTGTTAATTCTTGTTCGGTTGAAATATTCCTTGCCGTAATGCTTTTGCCTCTTTCTGTCCCAATCACGGTGTCTCGAATACCTTTGTGCGTGTCTAAAGAAACATCAACTGTGAACGGCAGTTTTATGTGGCTGAAAATATGCTTATATTTTTTTACGTTACTATAACAAGTATCATGTATGCAAAATCCGCGTTTTCTTGAAAAATAAATGTTTCCTACACTTTT